ATCAACTAAGCTTTTTTTTCTTAACCGATCAACGTGTTTTATTTGTTTTCCAGAAAGGAAATTTTTCATTAATCAAACGATTTTATTGTTTTCTCCAAAAGGAAATTAGATTACCCACCATTCTTCAAATGGTCAAAATCAAAAAAGATTGAAAGGAAATTAAAATTTTTTCTTATCCAGATCACCCACTATCTCTCAGTCAAAATCCAAAAAAATAAAATTTCATTCAGTATGAACAATCAAAAAAATTTGCACATTAGTTTGTTTATCGATCATTTTAAATTAACGAAATAAAACGTTTTTGAACCTTGGTCTCGTGACCAGAAAATATCACAAACACGTTGTGTGACGAGCCGAGGTAAAGGTTCCAAGACAAAGGCCATCAGTTTTTGGACATTTTGAACTGTCCAAACGTCTGAGCAAGACGAAGACCTAACGATGGACAGCGGTCAACATCACCCAAAAACATCTAAAGCGAAACACGATTTCCTTTTCAGTCAAGTATCTGTTTCGCTCAACCCTGACGTTTTTGAACCAAAACAGATAAGTTTTTCAGTTCACAAATCATGATAAACAGATAGCAATTGGGTTTCGCACAATACGGTGACGTAAAAATAACCACAACCATTTATCATTTTTTTGGGAAACGAAAATATTTCTGTTCAAATTTCAATTTCATTAATTAATCAATTTGCAAATCATTTCAAGCCAGCGCAGCAAAAAAAAAAAACGACTCATCACAAAGTTTTACCCTTTGATTTTGATCTCTTCCTTCCTCAAAATTCAGTTTAATAAAGTTGAGAAACAGGACGTTTAGAAGTTACAGTTACAGTTACTTCTTTACAATGAAACATTTCCCGTGCAACCAAACATTTCAGAATTGGGTAAAAAATCTACACGAAAATTGCAACATTTAGTAAGACACCGTAACACGGCAACCTTTTCTTCTTTTATATATGTTCATAATTAATGGCTGTTTAATCGTAATACATAAAATTCAAATTCAAAAACATGTGTGGAAGATACGTGCTTGCCAAGGTAAAAATTATATAAATTGTATTTTTAATAATAACAATAATAACAATAATTATGATGATGATCTAGGAGTCAAGTTCATTACAAGGTTTTCTTGAGAAGAAACTTAATTCAAATATTACAAATTGGGTTGATAAAGAAACTTATTGTCCATCGTAAATATTCTGATTTTTGATTTTTATAATACTCTGATTTCTTGAAAACTTATTCCTTTCTCTTACTCTCTCTTTCCCCTCTTCTCTCATCTAAAGTTACAACGTGGCACCAGGACAATATCAACCGCTTATAAGAGCTGTTAATAATAATGAAATAATTATGCAAAATATGGTAAAGATAATTGAAAAATATGCAAACAACAAAAAAACAAACATTAATTAATTAATTATTGAATTTAGAAATGGGGATTGGTTCCATTTTGGACAAAGACATCCCCGGATTATCCAAATATCATTAATTGTCGTGATGACTCATTACTTGATGGTGGTAAATCAATGTTTACATCGATGAAGAATTCTAAACGTTGTGTAATAATAGCTGAAGGGTAAATAATAATTTCAATGATAAGGATTTTCTTGAGAAAAAAATAAAATAAAATTGCTCAATTTTTAGATTCTATGAATGGCTTAAAAAAGGAAATAAAAGATTGCCATATTATACCAAAAGAATAGATGGTGAATTAATGTTATTTGCCGGACTTTATGATTGCGTAACATTCGAGTCATCGGAAGAAAAAGGAGAAACAGGAAAAGAAGAATTATACACTTTTACAATAGTTACAACAAAATCATCAAAACAATTATCATTTCTTCATGATCGTATGCCAGTAATTTTAAATAATGAAAAGTCATTAGTTGATTGGTTGGATGCAGATAAAAAATGGTCACCGGATTTAGCAATTATTCTTAAACCTTATGAAGATGGATTAGAAGTGTAAGTGTTTGATCATTGGTGGGTTGTGTGTTATTGGAAGACAGACGCCTTTGCCTAATATTTATTTTTGTAAATTTTATATTTAATTTAATCTATTTGGATAATATTTATTTTTTGTAAAAAGTTATCCTGTATCACAAGATGTTGGCAAAGTAGTAAATAACTCGCCTGAACTAATCGTACCAATCAATTCACCACAATCAAAAACAAATATTGCAAATTATTTCACTAAAAAAGAAGTTGGATGTAGTAGCAAAACAAAAGATGGTAGTGGTGAAACAGAAGTTGAATTAATAGTTGGGAGTATAACTGGTAAAGAATTATCTTCATCTTCATCTTCAAAATTGAAATCAGAAACTTCAAATAGACGAGATCTCGATAATAGTGAGGATGGAAAAGATAAATCAAATGAAACATTATCAATAACTCCAAAAAAATTTAAAACGTCATTACCACCTTCATCATCGTTGTCATCATCATCGACATCTTTGCCGAGAAAAAGAAAACAAAATCATCAGGCTGAAAATCCTAGTAATAAAATCACACGATTCTTTCAAAAATCAGAATCATAGTTATAGTATCAATTTCACAAATGCATATTTTTATAATTATTTATCATAGTAATAGAGAATGTAACATTATATATCATAATTAAATTAATTATAAAGTTGATTATTACTTGGGCAAAAGTTATTTTTTTATTTTTTAAATTTGAAAGAAAAAATTACATTTTTATTAATTTCTAAAAAACTAAAATCAATTGATTTAACAATGCCATCTACCAATGAAAACTTTGTATTCTCTCCATTTTTCAGGAGCATGTTTAGGAATAATAATAAATTTATACACTTTAGCACCACATTTACCAACAATTCTTGGTATAACAATCAATTTATAAATTTTAGCGTGTCGACATTTTTCTTTTGGAATCACGATCAACTTGTAAGCTTTGTAGACACCTTTCTCTTTTGGAATAACCAAAACTTTATATTTACGAGGTCCTTCAAAAGTTTTCGTGCCATCATGAAGTCCAAAATAATCATCGGATGTTTGAACGATACGATTTAATTCGGCGTTAAGTTCCGTTGGTTCCAATGAGGCAGATTCAATAGAATCCAAAGATGAGACTTTCTCGTTGTAAGCTTGACATTGTGTTTCATCGTGAATGGTAGTATCGTCAGTATCATCGATAGGAATTGAAAGGACTAAATTAATTGACAATAAGACCAAAATAAAGAACATTATTAAACGTGCCATTTTTTTTTTTCAATAATAATAAGTTTTGATTATTTTATTATTATTATTTGTTTGGATATAGAAACAAATTTTCGACGAAGAAAATTCAGATTCTATTTATAATATCAAAAAATCATTTTAACTCGCGTTTTTTATTTAGATTTACTCTTTTCTTCTTTATATATAATTTTGATTTACTTTTTTTTTTTTTTTTTTTCACGCAAAGAAAGAAAAATAATGTCGATATTGATGGTAGAATTTTATAAACTTTAGATCAATCATTAAGTTTCTTTTATTGTTATTATAGGTTGGGTAAGTGAATTGGGAGCGGGAACGAGAAGGATGCAAAAAGTAGGTTGATTAATTTCATTTTTTTTCTTCCCAAAGATAATCTCGATAAAAAAAAACCGTTGATTAATTGGAATGTTTTTACTGGGTAGACAAAGATAAATAGATAATGATAATGTGCATTTTGTAAATTTGATTAACTTTGTTAAAAAATTTGGTTTGTTCTCTAATTCGTTTATGCATCTATGAAGGAGTTGTACACGCAGTGAATCTCGATTTTGACATCAGTTATATAATAATAATGTAATAATAAAAATCTACCAAATCCGTTTAAATCAAAGATAAAAATAATAATAATAATAAACTAAAAAAATTCTGTTCCGAAATTTTATCCGTTAAATCGAAATCCGCTAAATCGAGTTTCACTGTTACTGTGTATATTAATATGAAGACAAATCCACCCATCCGTTCTTAATTGGATAAAAGCCCCAGAATTTATTCGTTCAAATAATTTTTATGCAATTGGTAAGGCATTCAAAGTACTAAAGCTACAACAAATAAAGGCTGCACAGTTGAAAAAAGAAGCCATCGATTTTTTTTTTGCACAGAATTCCTTGGCGTTTATAATATATTTAGTAATGATAGACTAGCCAATATAGCATTAAAACCGTAAATCTTTATTAGAATAGAAAAAAACAGAAAAGGAAAAAAAAAAAAGAAAATTCTGAATCAATCAGGTCATAGAAAAAAAATAAATAATGAAAGAAAACCATAAATAAAATAATTTTGAGGAAATAGTGCAAGAACTAGCGTCAAAAGGCAATATAATTATCAAAACGTGAAACAAAAATAATCAAAATATGAAACAAAAATAATATAAAATATATAAAAAATAAATAATATTTATGAAAGATAATATTAACTTATATAAACTTCTATCGAACATTTACTATTTGTAATATTTTTATATGGCGAGTCTAAATCTTAAAAGGTTGGTGGCGTTGCTTATCTAGGTTTATACATCTGTGTAACCGTCTGTATTTATAAAATTTATAAAACCCACCATTTTCTATTTATAAAATCATCATTTTTTTTTATTTATTTTTTTCTTCCAGGAGAAGAACTAATTGTTAAAGAACAACAAAGGACGATTAATAATATAATAACAATAATATAAAAAATGATGATAAAATATTTGTTACTTTTTTTTATAATAAATTGTATACTTTTAACAAATAATTATATATTACTTGCCAAAGCACAAGAGCACTCATCAGAACCACAAGCTACGGCCTCAAAAAATGAACCAGAAACAGTAACAGCAGACGCACCAACAGAATCAGGGACACCAACATCGAATAGAGAAATCATAGCAAGTTTACCTCAAGCAAAATTATATTGTTCGACTGACGAAGATAGTCCTTGTGCAAAGGCAAATTCTACATTGCTTTTCGGATGCAATGGAATATTAAAGACTCCTGATCAATATATTATTAATGAAAATACTTTTAATGGAACTTATGAACCTCAAAGTAAGTTTCTCTCTTTCTTCCCCACCACTGAAGAAATCAATCAGTCAATGACTGATGGATGATAAGCAATTTCAAATTTAATAATTATTTATTAATTGATTAGCGAGTACGTTGGCAAAGTGTATGTGTAATCAAGAATTTTATGATCAATTGAGTGGTTGCATTGAATGTTTTAAAAACTATTCAAAAGTACATTTCGAAGTTGCTCCAGTTACGAGGTTTAAAATTCTTTGTGCAGACCATTTCTCAACTGAATTTACCGAGTCTCCACCGTAAGCATATAACGTAAATTAAAAAAAAAATTTTTTTTTGAAATTAACTAATTAATCGCACGATTTTTTTTTTCTGTAGTGAGACAATTAAATCAAATAAAACTAAATATGTTATTGGGATAAGTGTAGCAGTACTGCTATTAATAATCTTGGGAATAATAGTATATCTATGTATTGTAAAACGAAGAAAAAAGAAAAATAAAAATAAAAATAAGAAAGATCCGATGAGATCCTTAAAATTGGTAGATAGCAATACCGTTAATACACCATTAATGAAGAGTTTTGCTAATAAGAATAGATCAGAACTTGACGTATATTACCCACCACCAACAAGTTTAGAAAATGTCAGTCATCATTATCCACCACCAAATTCACAGCAATCACATCCCCCATCCGATACTCCAATATCACCAGTATCACAACAACAGCCACCGTCACCACTTCCAACATCATCATCAGATTATCAACAACAACAAACTTATTATCCAACATCGTCAAATCAGCCCGTAAGTAACATACAAATCCCAACTCAATCAGTGTCAGGGGAAATTCCTTACTATCCACCACCTGCAAATCCTTCCGATTTGCCACCATACCCCGGATCTCAAAATCATAATCCACCTGGTAGTTATTATGGTATCCAATATTGAGAGGAGATATTTTATAAATAAATGTATATTATTATTATATTATTATATGATATTTTTACGATTAGATATATAATTAATTTTATTTGTATTTTTTATTTTTATAATTATTTTTATTGTAATTTTTTAAGAATCAAATAATAAAAAAATAATATTAATAAATTTTCCGTTCGATCCTTAATTACTTGAATTTCTTTCGTCCTTTTATCTATCATATTGATAATAATATTTGACATAGTACCAATTTGACTCTTTCTACCAATTAAAACATATAGACGCATCATATTAAGGGTTCTGATCTAGGCTGAACTTGTTTATTATTATCAGGATTTCAAAATCTTTGTTCTCGTGCTGCTTGACGTTCTTGTCACAAGACGAGAACAAGTACCTCATTTATTATCAGGTAATGACGTATTGCTTGATAATCTGGAAATGTAGAATAAGAAAAGAAAGGGGATTCTTTGAACTCTTTTTTTTTTTTTTTTCGCTGTTATATAGAGAAAATTACTTGAAAAGTTGGCCGAGTAATGTCGTTAATAAAAGAGAACAATATTAATATACAGGACTTGAAACTTGTTCCGGAAAGAAATCGGTTGTACTCAAACCAACCGGAATTTTAATATTATAATATAATCATTAGTGGACATCTGTTGCAGAAGAAATCAAAAACAGTTTTCCAAATGTTGAATTAATCGATGCTTTTAAAATACTTTATCCAAGAGAATGGAATCTTACAAGTGATAATATTTCAAGTTATGGAATGAATGTATGATTTACAAAACAATAACTAAAAAATTTTTTTGATAAAATGAAGCAATTTTGATAATGAATATCCAGACATGTTTCCAAATATATTTAGATTGATTAAATTCACACATATGATGCCTTTTTCAAATCTAATGAAAGCAAAAATAGAAATTGTTTGTTACGAATTTCATTCAGTAAAAATTTGGTAATAAAATTGCACATCATTATAACCAAATATAATTTTGAATTTCAATAAATTAAAATCTGGCTGCAACCGGATTTTTCAAAAACGAACCGGAAAAACCGGTTACTTAAATTACAATTTCAAGCCCTATTCTTGTACAATATAATATTATTAATATAATAAAAAGGAGATTAAGATAAAATTATTAATTAAAAGGAAGGGATTATTATTATTGTTGTTGTTATTAAAAGATTTTTCGTTTATCAATTGTACGTAGATATATATTTTTTCTTCATGATAACAATATTAGGGATAACGTCAGTGATCCACCTTTGGATATCCTAAAGGGATTGTGTACAGATGTGGTCTGGATAATGAGGAGCGTTGCTGGAACGTTTAAAATCAAGGTTGGGCAAGAGAGCGGTGGGATCTTGGGGAGGGGTTAGAAGGAGAGAAGGAGTTGGAGTTAAAATAGTGAATTAATTAAATCTGAGTTGAAATCGTTGATCGCAACAGTTTCAGGCAACAAAAAAAAGCACAAAGTCTAATCGCCAGAGTGTAAATTTAGTAAAGCAAGGGTAACACACATATGACTATTGCGTGGGTTCGGGCAGTTGTCAGGTAGTAATAATGTATTGAAAAATTAGGATCGGAAGAGTTGGTTGTGCGTTTGAGGGAGAAAATCCCAAGAATGCTTACATAAAAGGTCGTTGAGAAGGATGGTGGCAGTTGCATCAAAAATGTTTTCGAGAAAGGAGGATTGGTTGGTTTGTTTAAAGGGAAAGCTTGAGAAGTTAGGAAATCAATGACGGGCAAAAGAAATAATTAGAAAATAACAATAATATATCATAATATATCATAGATTGGAGAGACGAAATATTTTCTTCCAGTTCCAAGAAATAAAGGATCGCAATGTTATTACTGTTCCGGATATGGACACTTAACAACAAATTGTTCGTCTAAAAATACTACAATAACAAGCCCAACAAGCCAATACCTTAAATTCATTGGAGTTGTTTGGTTGTCGGCCAAGATTAACAGGGAAATTATCTGCATAGGTAGAAAACGTATCTTATTCTGGTGTTGGTGCAGCCATCTATATAATCAATCAACAGCTTCAAAATACTAAAACATAAAATTTTATATCATTTTAAAAAAATTAACCGACAAATTTTATTGCTCATGACTCAAAGCTTCAAAACTTATTAGCTAGTTCTTTCTTAAATTAAAAATTGGTCGAGCCTTAACATTTTGAAAATTCCAAATTTTGTTATACATACAATAAAGAGTAAATTTCGTGTAACAAATCTTTTTCCATAGAATTTTTTTTACATATATGTTTAATAATAATAAATAATAATAATAATAAATAAAAGTCCCTTATGACATTAAATGAAAATCATTTCCAAATTTTGGCATGCATTTCAAAATATGGTAATAGTAACACGAAAATTATTAAGAAAAAAAAGACATCCCTTTTACATGAATTGACTCCCTACGTAATTTTAAAGCTGAATTTAAATGGTGGAGAGTTTTTAAAAACAAACATGAATCACATGATATTTCAAATTTAACTTTAGAGTATAGATGATCCGCACTGTATTCGCATTCGGATTTATAATGATTTAATTTAACCTTGTAATAATTAATGAAATAACAACACTGATTATATTTTTGGCGTATTCAGTTTTTTTTTCAATGATAATAACAACAATAAATTACATAATCTACTTTTTAAAATAATTACATTATTGTTAAAATGATATAGGAAGGAATCTACTTTTGAATAATGTATTAAATTTGTTTCGTACGACAAAATTTAGAATCATTTGAATATATATTTAACATGCATACATATACGCATATGCACACATAAATAGTAGGGAAAAATCTTTTTGTGCCTGAAACCTTTAAAGGGGGGATTTAATTAATTGAAAAAAAAAAATAAAAAATAATATCAATTGCATTGGTTTTGTTGATAAAATTATTCAAATTTTGTAAAACAACCCTGCCATACTATTTATATTATATTATATTTTATTTTATTATTGTGTGCGTCGTGCGTGTTCATTTATTGTGATCAAGGATCAATTACCAGTCATTTGTAATAATTGTAATAATTACAAATTAGTTAAGTTTACGTCACAATTATGCTTCTCCATGAAAAGTTACTCTAATTAATAAACTCGATTTGTTTTTTTTATATACGGTTTTATATTTGTTTATTTGTTTTTGTTTTATAAAACTTTTCACAACATATTAAAAAACCATTCATATAAATAATTAATAATTAGCTTTTTTCTTTAAATCTTATTTTCGTTACGTTAAAATTTCTCTTCCTCTCTCTTTTAAAAAATACCTTCTTTTCTTCCCTCATCCAAACCATCTTTTCATATTTTTTTTTTGCGAAGAGAAATTAATTCCTTAGATTTATTCATTTATCTAAAAAATCACGATATTTATCATTTAAATGAATTATTCATTCATTCATTTATTTATTTCAAAGAAAAAAAAAAGTACAATTTAAATCGTAATAACATTATTTTATTTTATTCGTATAATGATGAGTTCAACTGCTACAACTACCGCAATAATGTATGAAGAAGATGACAACTGTGAAAAATATGAAGACACACCGTTAGCGAAATGGATATCACGTATTTTCAAAGACCCGGGCAACTGCGAAGATTGTAACGAACCCGAACTACAACCGTTCTGGTGTCACAATTGTAACTCGGAACGGTTCACTAGGAATTTCAACAGTTGGACTAGTGGACATCGAACACTTGATTATTTGATAAGCGAAGTGCAACTGGCAGCCGTTTATTTCTCACAAGTGATCGAATGGATTCCGTATGATCGATTTAGAAATGTCTCGTTTATCGGATCTGGTGGTTATGCCAATACTCATAAAGCTACTTGGCTTGATGGACCTATTTTGTCGTGGGATTCTAGAAAGAAACAATGGTATCGAGCCAAAAATTGTTCGGTTGCTTTAAAAGTTCTGCATCATACCAGATCAAATATTAGTGATGATTTTATCAAAGAGGTAAACATTAATTTATTTTTATTCTTTTTTTCAATTCTATCTTGGACCTACGTCTAATTAATTATAATTAATTATACATATAGATATGGACACATACGTTATGCGGGATGGGAAAATTGATTAATATATATGGGTTCTCACAAGATCCAAAAACCAAAGATTATATACTTGTATTAGATTATGCAGATAATGGCAATATTCGTCAATTTTTACGTAGGCATAATAATAATCATAATAATGATAATTCGTCAAGATTAAAATTTATAATAAAGATTATGAAAGAAATTGCAGAAGCATTAGAACTTATTCATACGATTGGCACAACACATCGTAATTTACATCCTGGTAATATATTAATAAATAGCATTGGAAGTGCATATATAGCAGACTTAGGATCATCGATTCCACCAAACGAATCGTTACAGTCATCGTCATCATCATCATTATTATCTACAACAACCGTAGCAGCAGCAGCAGCAGCGGTAGAAAAAAGGAAATTATATGGAGTCTTGCCATATGTTGCACCAGAAGTATTATGTGGCAAACAGCACACCAGCAAATCGGATATTTATAGTTACGGAATGGTAATGTGGGAATTACTAACCCATCAACCACCATTTAATAAATATGGACATAATTTAGAATTGGCGATATCGATTTGTCGAGGGCTTAGGCCTGCAAGTTATAAAACCAATGATTTGCCAGATTCGATTATCAAATTGATGAACAATTGTTGGGATAATAATTCAAAGAAACGACCGGATGCACAAGAAATAATTAGACGATTAAAAGATATTCAGTATGAATTGTGGGGCGAAGAGCATTATGCTAATTTGGAAAATGAACAACGACATTATTCTTCTTCTGAAGGAGCAAGTAATAGCGGTGGCGGTGGCGGAGTTAATCATTCCGAAGCTATTTATACTAGTCGCACATTACCAATCATTACCCCAAAATTAATGAATAAATCTTGGGTTTAACTCTAATTTTTTTTTAAAAAAAGCACAACATGTACTAATAATAATATTATATATATATATAACAAATGTGTTAATTGTAATTTTATATTGAAAATTTTACTTTTTTTTCGAAAAAAGAAATTCCTAAAGTAAATAAATACAATAGTTTGTATTTATTTTTTTTTTTTGATAAAATAATAAATGAATAATTTACAATGAAATTCAGCTATAACTAATTTCTGCGATCCTTTTATTTCTATTAAAAGTAATATCTAATTTTTTTATCTTTTGGTGAATATTGATTTAAGTCTTCTAATTTCACTGGAAGTACAAAATACAGATGTGACTATTATACCAATCATACTACCAATTACATCATTTGGTTGTATGTGCGGATTAAAATCTTCTCCAGTCAGTGCAACTTTTAAGGTAGTGATTGATCCTAAAAAATTTATTATTATGAAAAATAGACAAAATAGTGCCATACGTTTTGCTGCAGATTTTGTTGTATCGTATGTTTTTTTTTGTAGAACTACTGTTCGGTTTTGTGAAGTGTTGGTATTTTTACCTTCGTTAATCTTTCTACTATTATTATTATTACCACCATCGTTACTATTGTTATCTGTACTATTCACACGTACGTAGGTGTCTTTATTATTATCTTTATTTACAATTATGGAAGTAACTCTAACATTTTGAATTGTTATTTTTGTTTCGTTATTTTCTTCGTTGTTGTTATTGTTGTTGTCTAAAAAGGCTGGTGGTGGTGGTAATAGTGGTGACGGAAGTGTCGTCAACCCATATTCGTTATTACCGCTGACACTGTCTTTATTGCCTTCACCGTCTGATAAGCGGTTCTCATAATAGCTACTAATAATGTTTTCATCGTTGTCGTTGGAAAATACTGGTAGTGGTGGCGATATTGGTGACGAAAACGTCGTTAGTTCATATTCATTATTATTGCTGACGTTACCGTTACCATCTAACAATTGGATATCATTATCTTCGTTGTCGCTCAAAATGGCTAGCGGTAGTGGTGGTAGTGACTGTGATGGTTCATGTTCATTATTTTTCTCTTTATTGCTTTCGATATCATTTTTGCTTGACTCTTGACTACCAGTTAATGTAGGATTGGATGATTTGTTACTGCTTTTTAAAGATATCGTTCTAAATCTTTCCAAATGTCGAAATACCATATAAGCTGAATGACCTATTGATTTGTATTAATAATAAACATTATAGAATTAATACCAAAAAAGAAAAAAAAGAAAAAAGAAAAAGAAAATAAATAAATAAATAAATATATATATATATACAATACCACTAAAATACACTCCAGGTATGGCAAATACAACATTTACTCCAGAATAACCAAGTAAACGAACATAAGCTGGACTTAAGACGTCACTACAATAAAATAATAAAATAATAAAATAGTAAATATTTTGAAAATCAAAATTAACAACAAAATTCACAAACAAATAAACAAAATCAAAATATAAATAAATAATAGATAAATAAATACCAATTCATTTTTCTTGGTTGAATCGAATCAGTATGTGAAGCAACTATCCCCAAGATCGTGGTGAATGTTATTGTATAAACCGCACAAGCTATATAATATTGCTTCTTTATACGTATTGATGTATCATTTATCTTCAAAACTATTAGTCTATAAACGTGTATTGAGAAACAAAGTGCAGATATATCTTGAGCGAATGTGTTAAATTGAAGCTGTGTCAAATAAATGAATTGTAAAATAAATTGGAGAATAATGATTAATATTTATCCAAATATATATATATATATATATATTTTTATTTATTTAGTAATTTATAATAGTATGCTTACAAATAAACCTTGGAAAAAGCAAAAGGCTTTTGGTGCCCTTTCTAATTGATTATCGAATACAATGCTAAATAGAACATTTAAAGACATTAAAGCTGTAGATATACAAAATATTTTCACCATCGGATTCTTTCCACTTAAATGGAATGCCGTTGCCATACAAAGGGTCGAAAAGAATGATATGGTCCATAGTATATTTAAAATTATTACTCCGGGTTCCATTATGGTTGTGTGAGAGAGAGAGAGAGAGAGAGAGAGAGAGAGAGAGAGAAAGTAGATGATGGTATGAATGTGTGTGTAGGTTTATAATTTTATTTTTTGAAAAGTATTATAAATGAATGTGAGGCGATTGTGAATGTGAAAAAGAGTAGGAATTCATATATAAATTAGTAATGGTTTTATTTTTTTTTGTAAATAAACAAATTATAAAGATCAAACTATTTTATTGAATTTTTTCTTGGAATAAAAGGATTTATTTATATATATATTTAATTTTAAAGATTCTTTTTCATTATTGGTCTTGATTTGAAAATGTTTAAACTCTTTATATTTTTAAGTTTGAAACACTAATTCGCGAGTTTCTTTAACCAGTTAATTAATTTTTGTAGTGATTGTCCTATTTAATAAACAGAAAGAAAATCCGTTGCATTCTAATTTTATTTATATATAAAAAAATCACTTGCGTTTAATCGAAAATATCAAAATGAATCGTATCGTCGGATCTGTTTGTGTGCACGGTCACAATAATGACCGCGCTGACATTTATTTACATTTACATTTACATTTACGGTTAAAAAAATCATAGAATTTCTTTTTTAAAAAGCGGTTCCAATAATTCTAAAGAACTCTGATTATAAAAAGCTGACTAATAATATTACGATAATGTAATAAATAATAACGATAGAAATAGTGTGATACATATATTGACTATATAATTTATGATACAATATATATTTTTTGTAAAATTCAGAATTTTATTTTGTTGAATTCGTTTTTTTTTTTTTACTTTTTAATTTTTGTAAATTCGTCAATATAAATTCTATATCAAAACCTGTATTTATTATGAATTAAATCGGTTTTGTTCTTATTCCCCGCTGTTTTGACGATCTAAATAAAAAAACCACGGACATGATATTAATTATTTGGTACTAGTAGATTAACTGAACTATTCCTATTAAGGAAAATTATTGTTTGAAATAATAGAGAATGAAACATGTCGTCCGTCGTTAGCATATGCATAAATATGATAACATACAGATACAATTAAATAAATATATGCATTAAATATCATTAAATTTAAGAAAAAAAGTATCTTTGGTCAAATTGTAAATTATTGTTTTAATTATTTTGTCTAATTAACATTTTTTTTCCTTCAATAGCAAAAGTTTTTAATTGGTGGTAAAATTTAGCACTTGATAACAAGTTTTCTATATCTCGTGACTTGTACACTGGTACACACGGTGATGACGACAATGATTTTAGTAAGACAAATTTTTAATTGGGTAACATAGGCCTAATAAATTAAGGATACACAGTACTAAAATTAAGTTTATTGTACTAATTCATAATTTGGGAATATGTATAAACAAAGAAATATCATCTTGAGGCAAAAAGGTTAGTTTTTGATATTAATTATCTATTATTCTTATATTTTTATATACAATCATTATGATCAAATCAATGGACGTGTTGGATGTTGTTGATCTATTACTACAACCCCAGGTTGAAACAACCTATATTTAGGAAGTTCATTTTTGATTTATTGAATATTGTTGAATGTGTATAATTAACACAAGTCAAACACAAACCTCGATAAGCGATAAGCCGAACTTTTGGGAATCACAAAAATTCGGTTTATGATGATTATTTACAATTAGTGTTGTTTTATTATCACTATTCGCCGCGTGTAGTAGATATTTACTTGAGATGATTAATTGTTAAAAATGCATGTATGACTGATTTGGTTAACCAATTTGCGAAAATCGGTTTATAGTGGTTCGGCTTATCGAGGTTTGACTGTACGTAGTAAAGATTATCTAAATCAAAAAAAAAAAATTTTTTTTTTCTTTAAACACTTTAATCACAAAGTTCCCGAATTGTTTAAAAAAAATTTTATTGAATTAGTTTTTACAACATTTTTCAAACTTTGTGTAGATTAAATTAATCTCCAAGTATTACTACTTAACCATTCATTAAATATAAATCTTAATGTGTGGGTGTATATTTAATATTTAGAGAACATACATAAAAAACTGATAATTATTGATGAATTACATACAAAATTAATATGAACAGACCTCTTCACCGATAAAACAAATACTACGATGACTTTGTAACACAAAGAGCTAAGATAACAAGAGAACAAAAACTTTCACTACGGATAGATTGTCGAGCAAATGGAAAAACTACAGAGTGACCTTTGTTACGTACAAATAAAAAATAATCTGGTGCAATGAATAGTCAGTCATACTGCAAGATCCAGATGCTCGCATGTCTTTTGACAATTAGAAATTGAGTACTTGTTCTGGAGCTTTTAAAAACGTTTTAGCATGATAGTCGATTAACTATGTAATTTAATCACATGGTGAAGGAAAGGAAGCTTTGAATCAATCAATAAATTTGAAACTATCAAAATTTATTTATCTGTTAATGGTTTTCTTTATTGTAGTCGAGGATCACAATCTGACATGGTCAAGGTGAATATCGATTATTTCAACTAATTATTCAACAAAACTTTAAAGAATGCATTATAAATATTAATATTGATGGTAGTTGTGAGACATAAATCTTGATTTGCCAATCAAAAAATGATACACAAAATTTAAATTATGGTTAGGAACTTCATATAAATTTTAGCCATTCATCAAAACCGACAACGATGTTGTGGAAAGAAACAAAATAGCCTGCAGAAAAAAGTAAAATTAAAAAGGTTAGTACGGCACTTGCTCTTTAAACTTCCCGACTGGCTTGAATATCTAATCCCACGCTTTCTTCACAATCGATTATTCGTTTCTGGATCCTATAAAAACAAAATTTGAATATATATTTTTTTTTTGGTTAAGTTTCTTTCCATTTTCCTACTTTTCCTACTTTCATCATTATTTCAGAATTTTCTATCATCCATATTTAATTAATAAAAAAATAAGAATAGCTATATCTTAAAAATTAAATGCTATTCTACAATTAGTATGTTCATGGTTTATCAGGATATGTATGTTCACTTATTTCGTGTTAGACTTTTCAATAAAGTGGAGAGAATTTTATCCAATCCAATTACCAATCCCTGTGCGTGTATAAACCCTTATTCAGCTCCAAATGGTAATTCCAGGTAAAGTCAAGTCTATCAAACAAAACCATTTACCTTTCCCACGATTTGATTCTAAATTAGCTACATGTACATATGCGTATCTTTTATAGCCAATCCTATATCCTGCTTGATTCAATATTAGAATAATGACAAGGATTACAATAAAAAAAACTATAATATAATGTAGAGATTTTACTATATTTACCGCTGCATGATGAGAATCTATCGGAATTCCTGAATTCGGCACTATATATAAACCATAGTAATAGTAATAGTAATAGGGTAAATTTCGGAATGAGACCTCTAATACTAATACTAAAGTCGTAAAGTCGTAAACCGTAATAGTAATGCCGTAATGCCATAATAGTAATAGTAATGCCATCGTATATCGTAAATAAAAAAAAAGTCCAAATAATAATTATTTGCAAATGTATTACAGTCAGGTTCTTTCCAAATTTGGAGTCTCTAATATATGTGGCTAATGCAAAAAATTGATCAACAATAAAAATTTTGAAACATAATAATTTGAATAAGAACAATGTATATATACATATAAAAATCAAAAATTTATCGCCTATTCATGAACAAAGTGATTATTATTAATGTAATTAATAATAATACAATAATGATAAATTGTAATCTGAATCATTGCTCTCTATTGTATTGTTGTTGTTAGCTGACATTAAGGATTCGTTGATGACAAATGAAAATGAAGTTGTTATTATCCATTATGTAAAGAGAATATTTTTTTATTATTATAAATTCCTTTGGTTTAAGCATGTATGTTGAATGAATGCTACATCTAAAAAATAATTTAAAGATAATATCAATTTATGGAAAAGGATCAAATTTCTGGGTTTGCAAAAAAATTTAGATTGAATGATACTTATCTTATTATTACACAACACATGGTTTGATTGTCTTCATATTTGCTCGTTGCTACTGTTTCCATTCAAATAATCTCTTCTACTACACTATTGTCAGTCCCATTGTGGGATATCTTCAATTTGTTGCAAATCAACAGTAATTTTTCTTTTCTTTTTTGATACTAGTCCTTTAAACTGTGGTTGATTGGTTTCATTTAATGATCCAATTAATGATTGAATTATCAATGTTATATTTCCTGTTTGACATTAATTTTCTGATAATTGCTTTTATTCTTCAAGAGTAATTGGTATGATGTGTGTAATTCTTCTAGATGTCTTTATTGAACTTAGTTTTTCTTTAATAAAATCTATTTGATAAGTTTTAGCTGTTGAGCTAAATGATTTCATTGCCTCACTTAATTTATTATTTTATCCAAACTTTCAAAGGCGCAATTAGGTTTAGATGGTCCAAGAAACCAGTTTTTTTTTAATTCTACTCTAAAGCACTGTGATTCTTTTTCAAAAGTCTGGACATGAACACTTTCATGATCTGCATAATCAATTGTAGAAAATAATTTCTTTCAAAGCTAGTGTAAAAAGGATTTTTAAAAAAAACTTACAATACAAATAATATTAATGATTACTAGCAGTAATCTCCCAATGTTTTGAGTAGGAATAGGTGGTACAATTGCTTTTAATGCTTTCTTCACCTCTTCATGTATACATCTAAACATGGTGTTGAAACAACATAATTTTTTTCAATGATCTGACAAGCATAAGGACAAATGCATAATTGTTGTTCTTCATCAGCAACCTCAACCCTATAAAAAATTTTGTCAAAAATTGTTGGTTTTCCATACATTTTCTGCATATTCTATATAGAATATTATATATTAAAAGAGTGCTTTTCTGTACATATTTGCCCTGAAAATGCACTGGAAAATGCATGGAATATGTACAGAATTTTTAGGAAATGACCTGAAAAATTGCATTCCATACATTTTCAGGTCAAATATGTATCAGTCCCCCCCCAATCTATATGAGGTTGT